TCTCTGAAAAATTCGGTCGCCGCCGCCAGCTCCTCCCTCGCGCCCGAGTGAGTTACCCCCTTGAAATTCACCGCTGACATCTCCGTCTTGGCTTTACGCATCTTCACTTTCCCAGACAGGAAACCAGTTGTCGTCTCCCCGTCCAGCTCCGCCTTCACCCCGAGCCATTCTTGCAGCTTCGCCTGGTGGCTTTTTTCATAAGCGTCAAGCATCTCTTCTTTCTTGAGCAGGATTGTCCCCGTTCGCTTGCAGTTCGGGCTTCGCGACAGCCGCTGTCTGTAGATCTTCACCTCCTTCTCCAGGTGCCTTTTCGTCGCCCCGATCCTCTTTTTTTCCTCCCGTGTGTACGCCCTTAGACACGCCGTTAACCTGGGCAACATCTTGCCAAGGTCCCTGCCTGCGTCCTTGAGCACTCGCTCCACCCGATTCCTGACCCCTTTTTTCTTTGCTTGAGCAGCCCTCAGCCTCCAGATGCCAGGCCCCCTTTCGACCGCCGTTGACGACTCCAGCGCAACCACCACCGCACACCAGTGGTCAGTCATCTTGTTCGTGATGTCCGCATGTCGCACCTCCACCAATTTACCTAGCAGCGGCTGCGTCGCCAACGCGCGATCAATCCTGGTGCTTACTCCTTTTGCCCTCATATGAAAAGTGTACTCCCTTTTCCCAGGGTGCGTAAAGCGAAAGACATCAGTGAGCGGGGTGGCCGCCCAGTACCCCATCAGCCTCCTGTTCTCCGCCGACGACCCCATCCCCGATGACTTGTCCAGCGCTGGGTCCTCCACAACATTCAGGTCACCCATCACCAGGACGCTCTGCAACTTCGGTAAGGTATTAAGAAAGGGCTCCAGGCAGTCCCTGTAGAAAGGCGCCCTGTTCTCCGGCTGTGCCGGTAGGTATAGCGCGACTAGGAGCAGCTCCAGGTCCCCCCAGCGGACCACCACCCCCACCAGTCTCCCTGATGCATGTGTGTACGTGTCTGTGAAAACCATCCCAGGTATAAATCTCACCACTGCCACTCCTCTTGCCGACCCAGCAGGCCCCACGGCCACAACCGCAGACGGCTTCAGCTGGGTCCAGAAGTTGTGATCAGCCGGGATGCGCGTGTCTGTGAGTACCGCAATATCAGCCTTGTTCCTTATCCAATCTTTGCATTTCCCTTGCTTCCCTGCACTGCCGAGCCCGTTGATGTTGAGCCCGCAGAATCTGATCGTGTTCTTCTTATTCATTTAAAAAACAGGTGAAAAGCCCCATCGCATCCACGGGATGAGAACTGGTACATGACTCCTGAGACACGCGCGCCACTAGCACCATCCGCACCAAAGAGCTGCACATCATAGAGACTACCACTACAGTTACCACCACTGACTCGAAAACTGAGATGCCATCCTTCTCCCCTCTGTACTGTTGCAGATGTGAAGCACTGGAGCAACAACGTCCAGACAGCTACTTGGCGAATTCCTTGCGGAAAGCACCCAGGTTGAGAGCACCCTTGCTGGCGCGAGTAGCAGCACCTCCATGATCCATGCGGCTGCTCCCCATTTTCTGTGGCCGTTTGCGGTCCGGTACGCTGCACATTAGCTCAACCTCTGGCCCCGTGTCTCCTTGCCGGAGACCTCGCCTACACTGCGTTGGACGGGGGAGGTAGGCGATGCGTCGGTGTTCCGGGTTGGGGGTCTCGTGCCTTTGTCCGCGATACGTCCGCGGACAAGTTCTCCTCCTGCGCCATTCCCTGTGTCTTCCTTGGCTTTCCCACTGACGCGCCTGGCTGGCAGTTTTACCACCCCACCTCGCACCGTTTCCTGTCCTCTCAGGACGTCACGTTTGACGAGTCGGTTCCCTTTTACCGTCTCTTCCCCTACCGTACTGCCCCTCTCCCCCCCACGCCGCTCTTCCTCGCTCCAGGTCCCCCTCCGTTAGACCCCCTCCCCCCTCAGAGTCCTGCTCCTTCATGTGTGTCTCAAGTAGACCCACTCCCCTTGGCTGAGGCTTTTGAGGTCACTTCCGACACCTGTGGCCCAGCTGAGGGGGGTGACGTTGCTATTGACGATGCGGCGGCCCCCCGCCGCTCACCACGCTTGGAGACCCCTCCGGGTGCTCCACCTTGACCGTCTTCGCCGTCTCTGCAACCGGTTGCTGTCGACTCTGGTGCTGCTGGGGGTGGTGCTGCTAGGGGTGTTGCGTCTGGGGGTGCTGAGCCTGCGGGTGCGGAGCCTGGGGGTGCTGAGCCTGAGAGTGTTAAGCCTGGGGGTGTTGAGTCTGAGGGTGCTGAGCCTGCGGGTGCTGATCCTAGGGGTGCTGAGCCAGAGGGTACTGAGTCTGGGGGTACTGAGCCTAGGGGTACTTCGTCTGCTGGAGGTCCTACGGGTGCCTCACCACAGCGTCTCGCCGGCGGGTGCCTCTCTCACCACGGCAGCTGCGCGAGTGGTTTGCTCGGCGCACCCGCCTTCGGAGTGGCGTTGCTGGAGCTGGAGGCCCTGCCGCTGGAGGCACTGACGCTGGAGGCGCTGGAGCTGGAGGCGCTGGAGCTGCTAGTCCTGGAGGTCCTGGAGGTACTGCTGGTGCTGGAGGCGCTAGAGCTGGAGGTACCGGAGGTACTGGAGCTGCTGGTCCTGGAGCTGGAGGCGCTGGTGCTGGAGGCAGTGGTGCTGGAGGAGCTGGTGCTAGAGGCGCTGGAGCTTGTGGTACTGGTGCTAGAGGTGCTGGTGCTGGAGGCGCTGGTGCTGGAGGCACTGGAGCTGGTGGTACTCGTGCTGGAGGTACTGGTACTGGAGGTGCTGGTGCTGGAGGCGCTGGAGCTGGAGGTTCTGGAGCTGCTGGAGGCGCTGGTGCTGGTGGCGCTGGTGCTGGAGGTACTGGTGCTGGAGGCGTTGGAGCTGGAGGTACTAGTGCTGGAGACGTTGGAGCTGTAGGTACTGGTGCTGGAGGACGTGCTAGAGCTGGTGGTACTGCACAGCGGCGACCGTTTTTCATTCCGCCGCCACCGTCGTCTCTGCCACCACCTGGCTCGGTGCTTCACCAGGTTCTTAGTCTCCCGTCTTCTACTGGCCTTACTCCTCCCTCCCACCGCCTGACCAGTCGCCGCCACAGTTACAACCATAATCCCCGCTGCCTGCTCCTTCTCCTTACACTGAGCAAACAGACTCTCTTACAGAGCGTCGTGAGCCTGAGTCTCGTCCTGCCTCGCCTGTTCGCGCTGTTCGCACTGGTCGTCATGTTCCTTGACCGCGTCCTCCTCCTGTCCCCGGCACTCACACTATGGCACTTCGTCCTTTCTCTGTTCCACTGCGAGTTCCCCTGCCGTCTCCTCCTGCGTCCTCTCTTCCTGACGTTCTGGACCCTGAGTCTGACTTGGTTCGTGCTGCCAGCCCTACTATCACACGTCTCCTAGCCACTGTTGTCAATGACCCTTCCTTTGAGTCCACTGCTGCGTTTGCCTTAGTTGCTGAGCTTGTCGACTTTGCTGCCGCGTGTCGTCTCGACTACACCACTAGTCTTGTTGCTGAGTCTGAGTCTGACTATCCTCCGTCCGTCGGGGGTGAGTGTGCTCTTGGCACGGACGTCCTTGAGGACAGGTAGGAGGACTTTGAGTGTCTTGCAGCTGATGTACCTCATCTCGTGGCCATGCTGCTTGCACCTGAGGGAGATCCGGATGCACTAGACATCCTGACCCCGCGCTCTTACGCAGAGGCGATTACGGGTCCCTACTCGTCTCAGTGGGAGATAGCCATGGACGCAGAGATGGCATCATGGAAGTCCACAGGCACTTACGTCGACGCAGTTCCCCCTCCTGGGGCGAACATAGTCGATGACATGTGGATTTTCAGGGTGAAGCGGCCACCGGATTCTCCGCCTGTCTTCAAGGCTCGTTACGTTGCACGAGGCTTTAGTCAGCGACAGGGAGTTGACTTCTTCCATACCTTCTCCCCTACGCCGAAGATGACCACTCTTCGGGTGTTGCTGCACGTCGCCGCTCAGCGTGACTACGAGCTTCACTCTCTTGACTTCAGCACAGCTTTCTTACAGGGCAGCCTACACGAGGAGATCTGGCTGCACCGTCCTCGTAGCTTCACTGCGCCAGTCTACGGTCTCAGGCAGGTGCCTCATGAGTGGCACGACACACTGAGGACTACACTTGCGGCCCTTGGGTTTGCTCCTTCGACTGCGGACCCGTCGCTGTTTCTGCGCACCGACACTTCGCTGCCGCCGTTCTACATCCTTGTGTACGTCGACGACTTGATTTTTGCCACTGCTGACACTGAGGCACTGACCCTTGTGAAGTCGGAGCTGCAGAAGAGACACACCTGCACAGACCTGGGTGAGCTGCGCAGCTATCTTGGCTTGCAGATCATCCGCGATAGAGCACGACGAACCATCACCCTGACTCAGTCACACATGGTGCACCAGGTCTTTTAGCGCTTCAGCTTCTGAGGGCGAGAGGGCCCGTGACTCGCCGGCAGAGCAGGGGCGCGGTGGAGAGAGAGCAGCGCAGCAGAGAGAGCAGTAGGGAGAGGCACGGGCATGGGGAGCAGGGCAGGGAGGCAATAAAGAGGGGAACGAGTGCGCAGGCAGGGGGGGCAGGAATTGCTGGCAGGCTCCCCGTTGAACACGCGGCAGAGAAGGGTGTGAAACGGGAGGGAGGAGGGAAGGGCGCGGAGGAGAGGGGAAGCAGCAGCAAGGTGGTGAGGGACGTGCGGAGGCGGTCCATAGCCGACCTGGTGGCAGTGCTGGACAGCAAGGAGGAGGGCGCGCTGGGCGAGAGCGGGCAGAGCCTGAATGGGCGCTACCAGGAGAGGAGGGACGTGGAGCGGCGGGTGCTGGGGTGGCACTTTGCGAACCTCGAGTACGGGTGTGCCACAGACCTCACACGCCTATCGTTGCCGTTCTGGAACCAGGACAATGCATTTGGGGGGTTTGGCGGGCCGCACTGCATGGTGAAGGGCGGGTTTGCGCACGCCATGACGCAGCTGGCTTAGGGCGTGGACATGCGCCTGGGCCAGCCCGTCATTGAGGATGAGCGCGCAGGGGGTGGCGGGGTTGGGAAGGAGGCGGATGGGATGGATCAAGGGGTGGAGCGCGGAGTGGGTGAGACGCGGTGTGGGAGTGTGGCCAGGGTGACAGGTGGTTGTGTGCCGTGGGGGTGCTGTGGGGCACACACAAGTGTGGGTGTGTCCAAGGCTGGGGCAGTGGCGGCCAGCACGGAGGCAGTTGCTGTCATGGAGCAAGAGAAGAAGGCGGTAGGCGCACCGGAGACTCACCCACACACCAACGGACATGCAGCGGCAACAGCAGGAGTAACATCCCCAGCAGCGGCAGCAGCAGCAGCAGCAGTGCATGTGAGGACAGCGTCAGGAGAGGTGTTCCCGTGCGATGCAGCACTCATCACAGTGCCTCTGGGCTGCCTCAAAGCCGGCGTCGTGGCGTTCTCACCACCGCTGCCCGCATAGAAGGCGCGGGCCATTGAGCGGCTGGGGTTTGGGACGATCAGCAAGGTGATTCTGGAGTTTGAGCGCGTGTTCTGGGACCCCCATGTGGACTACTTCGGTGCTGTCGCCCCCCCCGCACACCGCTCAGCGCGGCAACTGCTTTCTCTTCTGGAACCTGCAGCGCACCTGCGGTGCCCCCGTGCTGGCGGCTCTTGTTGTGGGGCGTGCTGCTATGGCCATGGAGGGCCGGGGGGAGGGCGATGGACAGGCGGAGGGGACTGGGGTGGATGGAGTGGGGAAGGAGAAGGGGGGAGGTGGTGGCGAGGGGTCGGTGGCACGAGGGAAGGGGAAGGAGGAGAGTGGTGGTGAGGGCGGTGGGAAGAGGGAAGAGGGTGAGCGCACGAGGAGGAGGAGTGCGCGGCTCAGGAGGGCAGAGGGGGGCGGAGGCGGGGATGAGAGGCAGGGGGAGGAGGGCATGGCGGAAGGGGAGAGGCAGCGGAAGGAGCGGGTGGTGCAGCACGCAGTGCGTGTGCTCAAGACCATCTTCGACCGCCGCAACGTGCCCAAACCCAAGGCCGCCGCTGTCACCTTCTGGGGCACTGACCCTTACAGGTATGCCACACTGTTCCCCTTCCTCCTCCACGCACTACGCATACTTCTTGATCCACTCACCTTCTCTGTTCCCCCTTCTTCCACCCCACTTCTCTCTGTGCTCCCGATTTTCCTCCATCATCTCCCCATCCTCCCGGCCAGCGGCGGAGTGTACTCGTACGTGCCGGTGGGGGCGTCAGGGCGCGACTACGACCTGTTGGCGCGGCCGGTGCGGGCGTGCGTGTTCTTTGCAGGCGAGGCCACGAGCAGGGAGCACCCCGACACCGTGGGCGGCGCCATGCTGAGCGGGCGGCGCGAGGCGGTGAGGATCGCAGGCGTGCTGCAGGGGGAGGGCGATGTGTGGGAGCAGGCAGAGGCTGCTGCTGCTGCTGCTGTGGCGCATAGACAGACGGACGAGGAGCGCGAGGAGGTGCAGTGGGTGCGGGAAGTGCTGGGGGGAGGGGAAAGAGGAGGGTGGGAGTGGGGGGGTGGGGTGGAAACGAAGGGAGTGGAGGAGGGAGCGGATGGAGAGAGGGGCGAGGGAAGGGGTTTCGAAGATGGGGGTGATGACGATGGTGGGATAAGAAGAGGTGGGGGGTTGAGAAAAAGCAATGGTGATGCTAATGGGGCGGATGCAGGAGAGAAGGGTGGGAGGGAGGGCACATGGCATGCGTGGGCGCACCTAGACATAGGGCACAGCGCATGTGTGCAGGCGGAAGGGGAGGAGAGGACAGGGCGGGAGGGGCCAGGATGCGACTCAAGGGATGGCAGAGGCGTTGAGCATGTGAGGGCGGAGAGACAGGCGGGTGAGAGGGGTGCAGAGGTGTGCGGTGCGATGGACGAGGACGGGGTGAGGGTGGCTGGGAATGCGAATGGAGGTGTTGAGAAGGCCAGCAATGAAGGGGGGATTGGGGAGGCGAGGCCGGAGGGGGCGTCTGCGGGATTGCTGAGCGAGCAGCGGGATTCAGGTGGCATGGGGAAGGGCGATGGAGTGGGTGCTTCTGTGCATGGCGTGCACGCGAAACAGGAGCAGGGCAAGGGAGGGCGTGCAAGAGGGGGAAAGGGCGGAGAGGAGGAGAGGGCGTTGAGGAGGCGAGAGACACAGGGAGAGCTGCGGCGAGGTGCGTCACTGGCTGCTGTTCTGCGCATGTCTGGCGGACTGCGCATGGCCGTGGCAGCAGCAAGGAGCGCGGAGGGACGGGGGGAGGGCAGTGGTGGGCATGGAGTGGGTGTGGAGAGGGAAGGGGGCGTGCACACGGTGGGGGGGGGCGTGTCTGTGTGCCGCGAGCTGCTGCAGCTGCCTAGGAGGGTGCTGGAGGCCGTGGCGGGCAGCAGGGAGGGGCTCGAGCGAATCAGCGAATGGATCATGGTGAGTGTGGCTGTTGCTGTGGGTGTGAGTATGAGGGTGGGCGATGAAACTGGTTTCATGTCTCACTATCCCCTGCATCATTGTTCCGTGGATCACATGTTGCCATTCACCGCACCACCCCCACCCTCTGTCCTCCCCCCCCCTCCTCACCAGGAGTCCCTGCACTGCAGCTCGTCCCAGGTGCTCACTGCCTCACTGCGCCTGTTGCTTGCTGCTGCCACGTGCCCTCGATGTGTGCGCTCCTCGGGTCAGCCTCGGGCGATGCACGCGTGTGACATGTGCACACATGCACACACATAAGCGCACGCCCTTTTCCTCCCCACTATACAAACATGCACGCGCATAACGCATGCACACACTCACACACACAACACACACACTCCCACACTCCTCACATCCAATGTTACATTGACTGCTCATGTCAGCGAACCCTCCCGTGCTGTTCACCTTGGCGTTTTCTTCCTCCCACTCCTTCCCTCGCATCCCCTCCCTGCCTTACGCCTCCCCCTTTGTTCCCCTCGGCGTGCAGGAGTGGCAGTGTGTGTGCGTGCGCTGCTAACCGTGCCACGTGTGGGCAGGGAGGTGCAATCGCTGGCAGCACGCCTCATGCGCCTCTGGCACATGCTGGGCCACTTCCCTGCCCCCAGCGCTGCTGCTGGGGGGCCCAGTGCTGCACTTTCAGTCACGGGGGAAAGGGCAACGAAAGGAGAGGCCAAGGGCCAGGAGAGTGGTGAGGCAGAGGCAAGAAGTGATCGGGTGGAGGTGTGTGGAGACGTGGGAGGCGCTGACAGGGGAGATGGAGGGCGGCCGGGTGGAGCAAGGGCGGGTGAAGCGGGAGAGGTGGAGGGAGAGGCGGCAGTGAGTGGAGATGAGCGCAGCTTGCGAGGAGGAGGGCTGGCAGAGAGGGAGGAGGGAGGGACGGGAGGAGAAGAGGGGAGTAGGGTGGAAGGTGAGGGAGGGGAGCAGGCAGGAGGGGGGCTGGGTGGCACGGTGCAGGGAAGGGGACGTGATGGGTCGCTTGACGACTTGAGTGATAAGGCATGCCATCAAGGATAGGACGGCCGAGAGCAGGGAGCAAGTTGCGCGGAAGGGAGAGGGATGAAGGGGAGTGGAGAGGATGGGATGACGAATGGAAGGATTTTTGCGGTGATGGCGGAAGGGAGTCCTCAGTCTCCACATGCTGCTGCTCATTTGCCCTGTCATACTGATGCTGCTGCCTCTCCTCCTGCTCCCCCTCCTCTTCTTGCTGCCGCTGCTGCTGTTGCCCATACTACGACTGCTGGTCCATGTACCGTGACAGGCAGGAAAGAAGCACCAGCTCAAGTCAGCGCAGAGGGCACAAATCTGGCGAGAGTGGGGGCGTCCGAAAGCACGGCGCATGGCGTGCGCACGGTCAAGTGCGGTGAGGGCATTCAGAAAGTGGCAGCGGAGGGGATGGGAAGCAGTGGTGCAGCAGTCAGAGTGATTGCCGTGGCAGTGGCAGCTGCAAGACTAGCAGTGGAGGTGAGGGAGGAACGCAAACATGCTCTGCTTTTACTTGTGCTCCGGATTCTCTCTGGTATGTATCCTTTCATTTCCGTTTTCCCCTTCAGTGCTTTCTCTGTCTAGTCTAGCTGGTGCTTACCTGCCATGCCCCTCCTGTGCGCCTCTCTGCTGTGCGTGCATGCTTTGGCAGCAGGTGAAGTGCAGGCAGGCCAGCCACCTATTGCTGCTGCCCACCCGACCCCAGGTGCACCTCGCAGCAGCAGTGCAGCATCAGCTGATGCCACAGCAGCAGGTGCAGCAGCAGCGGCGCAGGGCAAGCAGCAGCAGGTTACTCGGCTGCGCAGCCAACGCCAATCACCCCTGGCAGGTGGGGCGGCACCAGATGCGTCTGGGGGTGGCATGGTGGTAAGCAGAGGTAGGGCATGGCAGCAGAGTCCACTCCTCTGCCTACCAGTCACTCGCTCTCAGCTCCACCTTCGGACGAGTCCGTAGAGCCGAGTGGCCCGTATCCAGAGCTTGTGGGCTGCCTCATGTACCTGATGACCTGCACTCGACCTGACCTTGCCTACCCTCTTAGCATCTTGGCACGCTACGTTGCGCCCGGGAGACACCGACCAGAGCACTGGGAGGTCGCTAAGAGGGTGTTGCGCTACTTGTGCAGTACATCAAGCATGGGGCTTGTGCTTGGAGGACGGGGTCCAGTCGTCCTCACTGGACGCTCAGACGCGTATTGGGTTGACGACCTGGCTACGCAGCGGTCGTCACAGGGTTACACTTTCAGCCTTGGCTCCGGCTCTGTTTCTTGGCGGTCTACCCGCTCCTCTTCTGTTCTCAGTTCCAGTTGTGAGGCTGAGATCTACGCAGGAGCCATGGCTGCACAGGAGTTACGCTGGCTCACCTACCTGCTGACCGACTTGGGAGAGCCGCCTCGTTCTCCTCCAGTTCTGTACGTAGACAACAAGGTCGTGATTGCCTTTGTCAGGAGCACAGACTGGAGCACAGAACGAAGCATATCGCTCTCCGTTACTTTGTTGCTTGAGAGTTGCAGCAGCGTGGTCAGATTCGTCTTGCTTACGTGGCCACTCGGGCCAACACTGCTGATATATTCACCAAGGCACTTCAGCCTCGTGATCATCGGTGTTTTTGTACTGTTTTAGGCCTTGTGCCTACTTTCCATCACTTGCTCACTTCGTGACTTTGCTTGTACTGTGATCCATATATATATATACCTGCATGCTTACTCTTGTTAGGTTATGATCACTGTACTGTTTGTTCTCTTTTATATAACTCTGCATGTGAACTGGTCTTGTGGCCATTAGCTTGTGCTCGGACTGTGTGGTGACTTGACTGGTCTTGTGACCACTTGTTCTCCCCCACTTTGTCATAATGCTCATGTTGTGTAGGCTGTAGTGGGGTAGCCCATAAGGAGTACGACCCAATTAGGGTTAGTACTTGTACTCAGTTTGATCTCAATGTAGTCATTCCCGTTCCGTATTCTGACATCCTCTCCACCCACCATGAAGACCTCAGCTTCCACGATAGCCTCTCCAACATGCTCTCATCGGACGACTGGCTGATGGCCTATCCCAACCTCGGCCGCCTGTGGATTACGGTGGTTGTGCTCTCACTCAGCACCATTGAGTGCGAGCGTGGCTTTAGTCGGCAGAACGTGATCAAAAGCTGGTGTCGCTCAACTTGTGTGATGCGACCCTTGGCGACCTCATGACGGTCTCCCTCCTTGACTACGACATGGATTGGGATGAGTTGGTAGAGCGGTAGCGTGCGAGGAAGAAGCGACGGCTGGCCAAAGAGGTCGTCATGGGAGGATCATCCCGCCCGTTAAAGAAGCGGCGGTCACGCCACCGGGAGAGAGCCGTAGCAGTATCAGCAGCAGCAGCAGCACCAACAGCCGCACGGGAAGAGGTGCTGCAGGCTGCTAGCAGGGAGAGAGAGAGATGTGCAGTAGAAGAGGCATGGGAATTGCCCGTCTGGACCAAGAAGGGGAAGGCACCACAAGTTCCAGAAAAGGATCTCTGAAGACGATGATGCTAGTGATGGTGATGGACCTGGTAGTGATAGTGAATCTTCCGATTAAGCTAGGAGTTGTACTTCTAGCAGAAGTGCAGATTGAAATGTAGTTCCAACTTGTGTATAGCCAGCTAGCTAATGTGCTTAGACTAGGCTTGTATCGTCTGAATCATAAGACAAGGCCAAATTTCCGTATGAATTGAGAGACATAGCTTCAACGTCTGACCCTCAGACACGCCTCCAAAACCCGGTCTAGTAAGACGGTGCATTTCACTAAAGTTGTCCCTGCTGGCAGCTAGCGCGCGCTATGCACTGCGTGCTGGCTGGCGGGCTGCGGGCTGTGGTCGCTAACAAGCAGGTGGCTGGCGTCCTGCTGGCTAGGGAGGCCGCCGGGCAGGCTGGCTGGCGAGGGGGGGCGGCAGAACGAACGGAACTAGACGGTATATGGAGGTAGGCGCGCTAGGATCCTAGGAACCACCCGTTACGATATGGAATAGTTGAATAAACATTCCTAAGTAACAAATCCTTAACGCGAAGATGACTGCAGCGAGGACGAAAGACCAAGCGACGCGACAGTTATCGAGATAGTTACAAGCAGGAAGAATTTGACGTGCAAAACGCGGGAAAATTTCAAACGGTTACCGGACCGCGTACGGTTACCGAACCGCACGGTTGCGATGCTGCATCTAGATTAGCCCTAAAGGGAATGTACCTTCTTATAGTACATGGCTAGCTAGGACTTTTCGTATTCCACCGTATTCCTGTATAAACCCTTGTACCGCATTGTATTAGTCACTTCTGTCGAGATTCAAATCTCCTTCTTCTGACAGAGTCTGTACCCGACATTACCTAGCAATCTTCCGCTGCTACACTCCGTGCGATCAACCTGAGACGATCCTATAAGACGGTTCAGATTGTATCATGGTATGAGAGCCACTCAGGATTCTTCGCACCACCACCTTTGATTCAAATTCAGACTCAAGGTGGCGTTCGGTACGCGCTCCCGCCGAAACATGGCTGGAGGATCTGGCGGACAAGCGGCCAACACTGCCGAAGCCCCCGCCAACCCTACCGGGAACTCCGCGGGAACTATCGCCGTCAGCAATGCGCTACTAGAGCAACTTATCCAGCGGATGTCTACGCCGGAATCAGGAATTCAACAACTGAAGAGCGTCAACCCTGAAACCGCTCAGCAACCCGATCAACCGGCCGCTCCAACCAAGGAACCGAGCCCAACCACCTTCGATCTCGGGTCAAACTCTTCTGCTCCAACTGTTCCTAGCCGTGCTCGCAGCTCAGAACAAGTTTATGACTATCTCCAAGATTTGAAACAGCACCGTGTTTAGCGGGCGAGATTTTTACACCTGGAGTTTCGAGCTCGAGCTACTTTTACATAACGCGCAAATCTTCTGCTACTTTGACGGAAGCTACGCTGGCCCCACCAGCGACATTGACGACGCAAAGGCCCAATATTACAACGAGTCACTCATGGCGTACAGCGTCCTACTTCGAAACATGGCGCCAACCGAACAACTCGGCATTCGCCCTTACAAAACCCACCAAGCTCCCGCCATGGCCGCCTGGAACTACCTCAACAAGACTTACCAACCCAAAGACTCAGTGTCTTCCAGTCGCCTGCTCTAGCAACTCATGGAAGTCAAGATGGCACCTGGCGAGAAAGCAAACTCTTACATCAACCGCTGCCGAAGCGTCCGCGACCAACTCCTAAAGCTCGGAAATGCCATTTCCAAGGACATGTTCGTCACCATCGTGCTTCGAGGGCTGGGACCACACTGGAACCCCTGCAAGGCGCTGCTTCGCCAACAAGGGATAATTTTCGAAGCGCACCTTTGCGCCACTCTGCTGCACGAGCAGCGAGACATGGACTTCAATCAAGAAAAGGGGGCGCGTCGCGAACAAATCGCGTTCTACTCTAATCGCGATCAACGAAGGACTCGCGACACACGGCCACGACAAAATTACTGCAAAAACTGCAAAGCCTTCGGTCACTCCACCAAACGCTGCCGCTCCGGACCACGACACGATTCCGCGCCGCGCAACAACTCTGCCTACAATCCCGATCATATGCGCCAGGCAAACCGACCGTCTTCGGACCATTGGTTTCCCCACGCCAGCCGCTGCAATCTGACATTCAGCGCGCACCGCAGAACAACAACAACATTCGCCATGTCATGGGCAACATGGCGATGCGCATTCCCCGCCGCACCCGTCGCACAAATCGGTGACATCTGCGATACGTCTCTCCTCTCCCGCCAGGAAACGAAGTTCAATTCACTAGCTACAACCCATTCACGCAAGATGGGGAATTCGTCTCCGACGAATACGAACAAGATTGGGATCTGCCGATACCCTTGCTGGAGTCGCTGCCGCATGACGAAGACTTTCTCAATTCGCCATCAATCACCAGCTATTTCTACGGTCACCGCATCGAGACTCGCCCTGTGGATATTTACCGTGCTGCTGGCGATAGGCGCATTCCGTTCCGCAACACACCAAACTTGGCACTCTCGGCCCAACATCGC